TTTTTGATTTATTGTAGAGATGAGGTATCGCCAAGTTGCCCAGGCGGGTCTCGAACCCGCGGGCTCAGGCAATCCATTCACCTCAGCCTCCCAAAGCGGGGGATTACAGGTTGAGCCACTGAGCCCGTCAAAAAAAATTTTTTTTTTAAATGAAGGAAACAAGTGAGGCTTATGAAATCCTAAAAGCAAATGGGAAAGCTATAGATAAATCCATTCAAACTTTGGACAAGTATAGATGATTATCTTACTGTTTTTGTTTATCAGTATACTATGATTTTTCTATAAGGAACATATATAATGACAAAATAAACCATGTGAGAAAATAAACCAATGTAATTATAGACAAGTTATGTGCCTTCATTGTACATACATCAACCTTCTATTGCAAAACTGCTTTTGTGATAGGAGTCTGGCATAGCCCTTTCCTGTCAAGTTCTGATAGAGTAGCACAACATAAGCGGAACATACGCTCTCCATCCTACTTGCTGGTCTGTTCAAATCCTGGCTCTGGTATTTTTCTAGTTGCATAATCTTGACCAAATTACTTAACCTCTCTAAGTTTTAGTATTCTTGACTATAAAAGGAGAATGAAAACAATCTATACCAAAGTGAGTTATTTAAAATTAAATGAAGCCGGGCTCAGTGGCTCAGCCTGTAATCCCGCGCCTTTGGGAGGCTGAGGTGAGTGGATTGCCTGAGCCCGCGGGTTCAAGACCCGCCTGGGCAGCGAGACCTCATCTCTACAATAAATCAAAAAATCAGCTGGGTGTGGTAGCGCACACTTGTAATTCCAGCTACTTGGAAGGCTGAGGTGGAAGGATAACCGGAGCCCAGCAGGTCGAGGCTGCGGTGGCCGGGAGCGGCCACTGCACTCCAGTCTGGGCAGCAGAGTGAGACTCCAACTCAAAAAAATTAAATTAAATTAAATTAAATTAAATGAGAAGCCTGGTGCGGTGGCTCAAGCCTGTAATCCCAGCACTTTGGGAGGCAGAGGTGATTGGACTGCCTGAGCCCATAGGTTCCAGACCAGCCTGGGCAACTTGGTGAGAACTCATCTCTACAATAAATCAAAATGTCAGCCGGGTGTGGTGGCGCATGCCTGTAGTTCCAGCTACTTGGAAGGCTGAGGCAGAAAGATCACCTGAGCCTAACAGGACAGAGGGAGACTTCAACTCAAAACAAATAAATAAATAAATAAAATGAGAATAGGACTTAGTTGCATGTGCCTATAGTCCCAGATATCAAGAGGCTAAGGTAGGATGACTGCTTGAGCCCAGAAAGTCAAAGGATACAGTGTACTGTGATCATGAATGTGAATAGCCACTGCACTCTAGCCTGGGCAACACAGCAAGATCCTGTCTCTTAAAAATATATATATATAATATTATAAGAGAATGAAAATAAAGCATAGGGCCTACCAATAATAAGCCCTCAATAAATATGTGCCTAATATCGCAAAGCTAAAGTATTCTATTTAAAATAATGTAGAAGATGCTGGCCCATGAAAAGCTTTCAGCAGTTAAGCTTAATGTAGGCAGAAACATATCCAATGGAACACATTGTCTAAATGTAAAAAAAAAAAAAAAAAATGGCCAGACATGGCTCACGCCTGTATTTTCAGCACTTTGGGAGGCCAAGGCAAGAGGGGTTTGCGACCAGCCTGGGCAACTTGGTGAGACCTTGTCTCTACAATATATCAGAAAATTAGCTGGATGTGGTAATGCATGCCTGTAGTTCCAGCTACTTGGAAGGCTGAGGCGGAAGGATCGCCTGAGCACAGTAGGTCAACACTGGGGTGGCTGTGAACATGCCACCACACTCCAGCCTGGGGACAGAGTGAGACTCTGACTCGAAAAAAAAAATACTAGCATTCAAGGAACATAGTTTACATCACTGATAAAACTGTAGTATTACAAATTACCCCATAAAAACATTAAATATCATACCTCATGATTGATGACAGTCCAACCACAAGATGAATCACTATCACTGGAATTTTCAGACATTTTTCAGGTCTACAAATACAAGAACATATTAACTTGTGAGACACTTTTTAAAAAAATTTTATAGGAAACACTATATGCAATACTACACAAAGTGGCTTACTGCGTTCCAGGTAGAATTGAGACAATCTAACCATCAATTTTCTATACACAACAAGATATAGTTGTATACCTGTATGAACAAATACAACCAAACTTCTAAGACAAGGAGATATTCCTGGACTAGAAAAGTCTTGATAGTCAAATTGTTGGAATGAAGAAGAAAGTTCGATCTGAAAGAAAATGCAGGATTTAGCCAGATGGAGGTAAAGGAAAAGGAGAACCCAATTTAAGTATGTGAGGAAGTCAAGTGTTAGGAGAATGGTGAACAGGTAAAAGATAGGAACAGTGAAGGTCTATATTTTCAATGAGCAAGGTGTAAATGAAGCATGGGTGAAGAAACCAAGAAGCAGGGGGAAATGAAAGAGCTTCCACGCCTAGCAAAATGAAGTGTGTATGTTGGCAATATGAAGCAATTTACATTTTCAAGCAATGAAGAAACATGACCAAAGAGTTTTTATGAAAATAACTATATCAACAATACTTCAGTTGCCGGGATCGGTGGCTCAGCCTGTAATCCCAGTACTTTGGGAGGCTGAGGTGAGTGGATTGCCTGAGCCTGAGGGTTCGAGACCCCCTGGACAACTTGATGAGACCTCATCTTTACAATAAAATCAAAAAAATTAGCTGGGCGTGGTAGCTCACACCTGTAGTTCCAGCTACTTGGAAGGCTGAAGCAGAAGGATCGCCGGAGCCCAGCAGGTCGAGGCTGGGGTGGCTGGGAGCGAGCCACTGCACTCCAGTCTGGGGGTGACAGAGTGAGACTCCAACTCAAAAATAAATAAATAAATAAATAAATAAACAAACAATACTTCAGTTGAATAAAAACGGTGGGGGGTGGGGAGAAAGCAGAGATTGTAGTTACTAGCAATAACCTACACTCATCATACATTGGTCAATCTTTTTTCTCCATTTGCTATCTGAAATTCCTTTAAACTTCAAAATCCAAAACCCAGCTTTTTCTTTTTTTTTTGTAGAGACGAGGTCTCATTCTGTTGCCTAGAGTGCAGTGGCACGATCATAGCTCACTGTAATCTCAAATTCCTGAGCTCAAATAATCTTCCTGTCTCAGTCTCCCAAACAGCTGGAACTGCAGGCATATACCACCAAACCTGGCTAAATTTTTTAATTTTTTTGTAGACGTCTCACTATATTGCACAAGTTGGTTTTAAACTTCTGGCCTCAAGCAATCCTCATGCCTCCACCTCCAAAATGTTGGGATGACAAGTGTGAGCCACGTACTCAGCCTCAAAACCCAGCTGGTTAAAGCAAATAACATCCTTACTGATTTGTTCTACACATTTAAATCTTATACTTCTATTATTGCACATATACTTTGAACATATTAGATCCAAAATGATAGTGTTCTAATAGAACTCTCCTGCAGACAATATGGAACTAGTGCTCAAATGAAGACAGGGCAAAAATACGGATCCGAATAATCTATTAATGATTCTAGAAACTCTTCTAAATTAATATTTTAGAGGGAAAAGAAGCAAAAAGGTGGGCCACTAAGGATAAAATTAGCATGTTTTCAGATAAATTATTCAAATCTGAAATAAAACATGAATTGTGTGACTTTTTTTTTTTAACTTTGCCAGGAAACAGCGTTTATTCCTGCTGGCATTAGCTCAGCAGATGTGCATCCAAAAGCTGAGCCAATTGTATGACTTTTAATGTTATACTATAGCATTTTGTAAAGTTCATCTGAGGTCATCTCAGGTGACTGACTGATTTTCCAAATTGTCTGATTTCCAATTTCAATTGATTAGAGCCCAGGAAGTTTATAACTCAATAATTTAAAGGGCCAGCAGACAGCAATAAAGGAGCAGCAGACAGCAGACACTCTTGCTGCTGTCCTGCCCACTGTGCCCTTCACAACATTATCTTCTCTTGAACAAATCCACCTTTTTAAATTCAAATAAAAACAACCAAAAATAATAACAACAATTTAAAGGTACACTTACAGAAACTATTAGAGTAAAATACATTTTTTCTGTCCAGTAGAGATTATCCAAAAAGGTACAGTCTGAATACCCGTAGGATATTAACCATTTTTATCTTAGCAATTTTATTTGAGCATTCCTTATTAAACTGATTATATAAATCCAATTTCTCATTCAACCAGTTTTCATGAACTTCAAAATCTTTTGATATGTATCACTGTCTATTTGTATGAGGGTTATGTTTTGTAATAATTTCAAAATTATGCATTGACATATGGGAGTACATCAAAACATATGGGAGCAATTACATTTGCAGGTGGAAAGGAGAATGATCCAAGTCTTTATAAATGAGGCTACAAACTAGGTAGCACTTTAAAATCTAAATGAACAATTATAACACTTGCCAAAATTTATTATGGAGCCAGGTATGGTGGCATATGCCTGTAATAACAGCTACTTGGGAGGCTTAGGTGAGAGAATCCCTTGAGGCCAGAAATTCCAAGGCTATATAGTAAGCAATGATGATGGCACCTATGAACAGCCATTGCACTCCAGCCTGGGAAACACAGCAAGACTCTGTCTCTCTGTCTCTCTCTATATATGTATATATGTATGTATGTATGTATATATGTATATATGCATATATACATATATACATATGCATACAAAGATCTCTGTTTACTCATTTAATAAAAAAAAGTCAAAAGACCTGATGACACTGAAAAGATTTTCCAAGCAGCCGGGCGCAATGGCTCATGCCCATAATCCT